TAGATTTGAAATCAGTGAATAAAAAATATAGAATTCCTCAGTAGTTCCGGGTTTAATACTGCCTTTGCAGCTGTTGAGATGGGATAGCGGTGTGCTGATTGGCTTTGTTTTGCATAGCGCGTAACATTTTTGCACGCTAGGCTTTATTCTTATTTACACTAAATCTTTTTTACTATTGCTAGAGGCTACGTGTAGACTGCATCCCTCTGTCAGCAGGGGGATGCAAATCAGGCACGTCGAAATTGCTAATGAAGCAGGGATTTAAATATCCCATGCTTCATTAGCATAAACATGGCTGCCGCTTTTTTTTTTTAATAGAGCTTTTTCGGAAAAAAAGGCAGTTTAGATGCAGATCTGTTGAAAATAAACCCTTTTTCGACAGATCCTGTATTCCTCCAAAAATGAGGTTTACAGGATCTGTCAAAAAAGGGTTTATTTTCGACAGATCTGCGTCTAGACTGTCTGAAAGTAGGAATAAGAGATCCTCCGGAAAAGGGCTTTATTCCGGAGGATCGCGCCAGTCTAGACGCTTTTTTTTCCGGCTTTTCCCCAAGCCGGAAAAAAAGCGGCGGACATGTTTATTTAAATCCGCGGGGGATATTTAAATCCCCCGCGGATTTCTCTATGCTGACTTACCTGATTTGCATCCCTTTTCCGGAATTTGTGGGCAGTCTAGACGTAGAGCCAGAGTGACCTACAAGGGACTTAATATAAATGAGAATTAAGCCCAGTGTTTTTACTATGTGGATTAAATAAACATATTTATGACACACTGGGGAATTTTAATTAAAAACAACTCTCTGCAAGTGCTGCAAGCATCAGTGAAGTCAGTGAGCCCTGTTTCCACAGAATGAAAGGGTGAAGTTGGAATTTATCCTTACTTCACTGTGGGAAATACAATCTCTATATAGGAACACCGAGGTTCATTGAAGGATGGGGTGATCTGGAGCCATGTAATTTATTTGTTTACTTGACAGAACTTTTTCTGCTGTACACTTTAAAAACATATAGGGTAAAATCTTGGCTCCATTGAAGCCAGTGGGAGTTTTGCTATTGATTTTGGTGTTGCCAGAATGTCACCCATGAAGATTAAAACATCATTGGGCCCTGACCGTTCAGAAGTAGCTCCTTGACTCTATATTCAAATTAATTTCCTAGAAAGTTATTCAATGCTATAAAGTGTTAGGGTCTGGAGCCAGAACATATGGTTTTTTATATGCTCAAATGCCTGCATAGACCACTGTTTACATTACTGGTTTGTAACACATTATCATTTGCCTGTTTGTTTTTGTTGCTGATAGCAAACATTACAGAAAAAAACATAAGCATATGTCTTTTATTACTAACTGGTTGCAGGCCTATTTCATCCTTTGGATTTTGGCAGTGCGCTTCTATTAAACCACATCTGCATTCTCCTAACAGTGGAAATCCTGTCCTTAACCCATCCCATCATGTCTAGGTATTGCACTACATACGATGCAGTATGGAAAATCATGTAATTGAATTATTTAAGCTTTTTAAAATCAATGGAATTTTTGTCATCAACTTCTGTGTAAGCAGGCCCTAAAACAGGAATGACGAGTGCATTTTATGGATTAAATGTGTCCCACACATGAAGCAGTCTCTGGCCACCCCTCAGCAGGCAACATCACTGCATTAAAAATCAAAGCTGTGATATGTGTATGGAAATTTAATGTGCTCTCAGGCTCCTTGGAAAGTTGCCAGTGTACCCTAAATAATCTCATTGTAGGCACTGGAACTCTCAATAAATAGGAAGCATTTAACTCTGCAATTGGAATTTAGTTAACTATTCAGTTGAAGCTTTGTGTTCAGGAGTAGACTCAGGGTCACTCTCTCACCGCTGTATTGGCTGTGTAGAACAAGCAGGAATAAATTCTATAACAGTGTTTCTTAAAATGTGTTCTGTGTGCTAAACAAAAAAAATCCTTGGTGTTCCCCATAAAAAAAAAAAACGGTTCGGTGTTCCCCGGTCTTAAAAAGTTTAAGAAACACTGCTCTAGAAAGCAGTGAAGATTCCTTTTGGTCACTAATTTCAGCAGATCTTCATTTGAATATATGCAGGAAGCAGATGTGTTGAGCAAGAAGGTGTCACTTTTAAAGTCATTTTCAGGTTACAACTTCAAGTGCTATTTGAGATTTGTGAGTTAAGTATGAAATGGAAATTCAAAGTTGGGGGTCAGTGGCGTTGGCATTTGGGTGTGGGGGCTCAGAGTTGTGAGGGGAGATGGGGCTCATCAGAATGGGAGTTTGAGTGCAGGGAGCTCAGTGGTGGGTGATACGGGTGCAGAGTTGAGGGCCTGGAGACAGGGAAGTCTGGGGTCAGAGACTGAGATGCATTGGAGTGGGGTGAGGATATGGAGGGCTGGGATGTTAAGCATGTACTAGGTGAGGCTTGGCAGGGGTATCTGGGTATGGAAAGGCCAGCTACATGGGGGTGTAATAGGTATGTGGGGCGGTAGATTCCTGTATAGTGCCCTCTTCTCTCAACAGCTGAGAAGCAATGGAGGCAGGAAGAAAGGGAGGATGCTGGGCTTCCTGAAGTTGGAGGTGGTTTCTGGATGTAGGTCTGACACAGCCCCAGCCACTCCTTGCAAGAGTAGAGAAAGTCTTGTTGTTTCCTGCCTCCAGCCCAGCCAGGACTAGCAGTTGGTCCCAGCTCAGGGTGGGACACACTGCCAAGGGTGTCCCCCGTCCTGTGGTAATTTATCTCTCCACCATCTGCCTGAAACAATGTATCTGTGCTTCTAGGGAATGGTGTGTGACTGCTCTTGCAGCTTCCCTTTGCTTCCCTGTCAGAAATTTATTTTTTCGATATGGAAGCAAATAAGTCTGCAAGGGACATGAACTCTGCACATGAGCAGTGGTACAGAATCCCGCCAGACATAGAATGTGCATGTACTGCTGGCTACTGTAGATTTTGCAGGTTCAGTTTGGGTGCCTGTGTTTGAAAATGCATCCATCTATGTACCTGTTGGTCCCATATATCAAATGTCTTCAGTATTGAAGAATTTTTCCATGTTTAATGTAACTCAGTAGAAAAATTGCTTATACTATATTACTCACATGAAAAAAAATATATATGTTGTAAACAGTGGCAGTGACTGACTCATTGTAGTGGTTGTATTTATTTATCAAGCCAACATAACAACGCCATTATGTTACTAAATAAAACAGAGTAGCTTTTCCATAGTTTTTAAAATCTTTTTTTTCCAAATGTGTTTTCTTAATAGGTTAAGACGATCATAAAGAGCCATATTTTCTGGAGTAGTGAACCAAATTGCCTTGATTGGAATCATTATTCACTTGCACCTTTCACGTCATTATCAGGTAAGAGAAAAATAACAAAAGACTCACAGGCCTAACTGTACAATCTGGGTGAATATTTCCAAGCTTTATAATTTATAAGTTTTTATAGCTTATCACTCACAACACTTACAAATTACACTGTGTCCTGTCTAAATATTTCACATAATTTTGTTATAACTAATACCAGCTGTTGCTAGAACTGAAAGAGGTTAAAGAAAAAATACTTGCTCTGTTTTTGGAATTCGTTGACTTAGGGTGCGTCTATCCAGCAGGGCTAAAGTTGGAATAAACTACACAACTTCAGTTACGTCAATTGCATAGCTGAAGTCGAAATAGCTGAATTCGGCTTTTGGCGCTGTCTATGCCTCAGGAAGTTGAAGGAAGAACACTATTCCCTTACTCCTCATAAAATGAGGATTACCATGATTTGGAGTAAAAGTCCTCCAGCTCAACATTATTTCAAAATAAAGGCTTGCAGTAAAGGCACACTCTTTGTTATTTCGGAATAACTGATTTTATTCTGAAATAATGCTGTTGTGCATTTGGCAGCACTTTGCTGGTATACTCAGCCAGATACTTTCCTCTATGTATCTGGGGACAGGTTTTTTCTGTTTTTGTTTTGTTTTGTTTAAATAAATCATACAGTGTGATTGTAAAATCACAAAAACTGGCAGGGACACTCGGGGCTTGAAAATGCCTATAATTCATTTTTAAATTAATCACATTATAAACTGATGATATCCCTTTAATTCATTGAGCACTTAGAGCATGCCTACACTGGGGAGTTATTTCGAAATAACTCTCCTTATTTTGAAATAACAAGGCGAGTGTCCATACTACCATACCTGTTACTTTCAGATAATGACTCCTGCTTGTGAAGAGGAATAAGCTTATTTCAAACTAGTTATTTCAGGAGTTATTATTTTGAAATAACCTTGTAGTGTAGATGTAGCCTTACAATGCTCTGTTTTTGACATTGTCCTAGGTAAAGGAACTCTTGATAAAAGAACTCTTATTGCTCAGTGTTCTCTACACAGTGACTCCCTGCAATTCTTTGGAATTACCCATTAGGGTGGACAGTCAGTGGTTCAGAGTATTATGGACTAATTCTGTCTGAAAAAAATCATGTCCTTTATGAAATGCATTTTAAATTATTTTCAATGTTATTATAAGTCTAAGACTATGAAAAATAATGTTTAAGTTCTTATCAGTATACTCATTTCCAAGCATTTAAGTCTGAATCTGTCCTTCTAAAAAATCATGACCTTATCTTAAAAATAATGATATTTGACAATAATCAATGTTGGGTTCTTTCTATGTGCCTTTTGGGTTTTGTGCTTATAAGGTGCAGTCAGATGAGTTCAATTTCCAGGATTCTTCTCTGCAGCTATGAGAGCTAGAAACATGCTTTAAAAATGAAAACAAATTCTCATATAGTAACTGCGGGGCTTCTACTTTTGAACTGTAGCAAGACGCTAGCAGGGCTCTTGCTACAGTTCAAAGGCAGAGGCGCCCTTATAGACTAATTGATTAGTTGATGGAAATCCCATCGACTATTCAATTAGTTAATCTATCTGTATTTAACATCCCTAGCATGGGATGACACATTATCTCATCAAGAGGGCCTGTGTTGTATTTAACATCCCTAGCATGGGATAACACATTATCTCATCAAGAGGGCCTGTGGAATTACCTTAGAAAAAAGAACCCAAACTATGTTACCTATTCTCTTGTCCCTGCCCAATGTTCCAAAAGGTCAGAGAGCAGTAGCAGTTGGGAAAGTGCTCATAATAAAAATGAAATCAAAATAAATGGAATTCTTTTCTAAAGAATAGAGTCCTGTATGTGTTCTGAGTCACTTCAGTAGCACGGAGAAAGAGCAACAACAGGGCAGAATGTGAACAGCAAATAGAGCTAATGATGTTTTGGGGTGAGGGTTGAAATGAGGTTTGTTACATAAATCTTTCCAGTGACTTTATGGCACTTCTGTGAATTGAGGCCCTTACTGCTGTAGCTCTCTCGTGTCTTGAAAACTCTCTTTGATAAATGAGTTGGCTGATAATGGCATACTTTGCTCTTTTGTTGTTGTTGTTGGCGCGACTGAATTTTAGAATAGATGCTCTCAGTTAAGGTATTTACAGCTATGCAGTTGGTACAGTAGTAATATGTATTGTTATCCTGTTTGCTAATGATAGTAAAGCAAATACTTAATAACTGTAACATAGTAAACATGGTGTGTGAGTTATAAAAATATTCCCATTAACACCGAACCCAGCCTTGCCTACTGTATGTGCCAGATCTTGCAGTCTTACTTTAGTGATGGTTCAGGGGACCTAGGAAAGCACATCTTCCCTCAAAAAAGGTGAATACAATGCTACCAAGCCTGCAGCCTATGATATACTCTTGAAAGTGATGGATGTCCCATCTGGGAGAACCAGAAATGTTGGTTTGATCTTAAGGCTCTGGTGTTGTGTGGTGTGGAGGATATGGGTACTGTTTTCTATCTAAGCATTCTTGTGAGGCTGCTGAGCCTGATTCTTTGCTGCCTGACACATTCTGTCATTTACATGTGTCTGAAGTGAATGCAAAATGGATATCAAATGCTACCATTCTGATCCTAAAGCATTTTTTTCATACTTTGCCCAGATATAGCTCACAGTGCTCAAGGGACAAAGCTTTAGCAACTCAAGGGATCTCCCCTTTGGGTCCTGGTCCCAACAAAGATTGCCAGCTGTTCTGATGGGTCTGGGCATTACAACTGACAGCAGGTCAGCTTCATTCTCCCCGTATTGGCATGAGCCCAAGCTGAGTGAATTGGAACTTGGGGTTTACCACAGGGCAGCAGTTGATGTTTTCCTAGCCAATACTGCAGGGGGCATGCAGGGTTCCTCCTCTTCCCCCAGAAAACAATGGAATGAATTAATAGAACAATGGATTTTGCTGGCTTCCTCAATATCTAGGATAGGAGAACAGCACTCTCTGAAGCATGAGGAGGCGGGGTTATTCTGAGGTGAGGTAAATGGGAGAGCTGTTTGGGGAGTGAGCGCTCCCATGCAATGAAATGACTAACCCTTTCCTAGTGTGGCTGAACTCTTCTTTGGCACCACAGTTGACGCAAGTTGTCAGTCTCAACAAGAAGGCCAAGTACTGAATGGGCATGAAAACCAAACTACTCTCTCACACTCCAGACTGGGCCTGAGGCATGCTGGCAGAGCAGCATGGGGAAGCTTTTTCTGTCACATCCTGTGCTACGTCAGTTCTTTGAATAAATAGAGGACACTGTTCTCTAAGGTTGTCAATACAGCAGTCTGCACAGGAACTAAGTTAACTGAAAGATCTGAAAGAAAATGTATGTACCTTTCATATGTTTAATGTACTTGAGGCTCTTTCTTAATGTTTGTAAGAAGCAATATCAGTGGGGTTATTGCTGTGAGATACATGACTGCATTTGTACAGTATTTTTTCTTCACGGAATTATTTCATCCAATGACAAAAAAATACAGACTCGTTTAATGAACCCTAATGAGTTAGCTTCATCTCTGTCATTATAAAATATTTGTATTTTCTACTTCCATTGTGTGGCAATGGACAGGTGTGTGATAGATGGGTCTGGGCATTACAACTGGTCAGATGTGTGCACTGACATTCTGTATATTGGATGGATCCAGTCTCTGAAATCCTTTGGCACAGTGACCTAGTGCTTTCAAATTAGAACAGAGACAGATAAAGATATTCTGAAGGAAAAATTCAATACTGTATTGTGACATTTTATTGATGCTTTCGAAAACTAGGGTTTTGGAGCAGCATTTCAAATACCTAGACTTACAAAACAGAGTACTGCAAATACTACCATATAAGCAAATGTGGTAAATTTTGTTGGTTTGGTTTGTTGGGGGGAGGAGGGGATGTTGTACTAATTAACTAATTAGTTTTCCTGTCTTAGAAGTTCTGGGGCACATTCTGATAACTTTGCATGTGCTGAAGTCAGTGAAAAAACGCATGGAGCTACTCAGCACTGAGTAAGGGAACTAATAGAGCTGTCTCTGCATCATATTCTCCAGTGTACACTTCTTTGAAAATGGATTAAGAGAAATCAACAAATGAACAAACAAAAATACGTTTTGTGGTGAACAGTGAGAGCTGTTCATTTATACTATCTAGATAAAATGTTCTCTCTCAAGTGCTAGGTAAAGTTCTCTCATCTACATTTTATCATTTGGGCAAAAAACCAAATGATTTTGATTTTATTCCTGAAAAGATTAACGAGATTACTAAATATTAGACACACCTGATGGGATTAATTTTACAAAACCCTAACAACACATATGTACCTATTTATATATACTGATACACTGTTGTATATGCTAGAAAATTATGAATCTCCTGTGAAAATATCCTAAGGTTACAGGTTCAGAGGTCCACAGCTTCAAGGCATATATGAGATACATTATAATAGTTTAAAATCCATCAGTTACATTTACATATGACTGCTATTACCTGTAACCTGTACAATACAATAATGTAGCAAATATTATTATCAAGCATTTCAACAAGATTACAATTTTAAAGAAAGAGTTTTGTATCCAATAACTTTTCTGACATGATTTAGTAATCCCATGTGTCATGGTAGTCTTGGAAAGTTTGTACACTTACCTTTAAAAATGGATCAATACCAGTATACAGTACTAGGGAAAACCATATGATGTTTTTCTTCCCCAACTCACTGATAGTTTGCCAACTAGTTCAGAGCCTGCAAATGTTTGAACTGGCCAGGAATCTCAGATCCAAGTTAGCAGCTATCTTCGCATGACTTCACTCAATTTTCTACTGATGCTTTGTAGATTCTCAGTGATTGCATAGTTGGTATTATGAAGAGGACTGTTCCATTTGTTCTTGCCAAAAATGTACAATGCATTGTTAGATAGGTTGGGAGACATGATAAAGCTCAAATAAAGAGGTAATGGCAAGGAAGATAAAATAGGAGGGGGAAAGAGAGAAAGAAAAAGCAACATGTTTTACAGTAGATTTTGCGTGTGTGTGTGTGTGTGTGTGTGCAGGCGTGTGCATGCACGCACATGTGCAGTGAATTTCAGCTTGTTTGCTGGCAAATGTAATTTGACTTCAAGTCCTGAACTTCATTGAGCTTCATCCAAGAAAGCCACAGCTGAGCAGTCTGCAGGAAGCAGTCTTTTCCTAGAAATATTCAGCTCCAAACTCTACAAACTCTTCTGCCATTCATAAAATGTGTGTGCACTTCCAAAAACAGTCCTTTACTGTTGAAAAGAGACCTGTGTATCTGCATCTTAAAAGAAGAACAAAAACATGGAATTAGAGTTTTAAAAGAAAAAATGTAAAGTTATCTAACAAAGCACTGGTGATAAGGACAGTTCATCCTTCTGGTGCAGCTGTTTCCTGACATTTCTACAAAATGTTGTGGAAAAATTAATGAAGGTTAGTTCAGTAATGGTTTCAAGCATGGCTAGTGGAAAATATGACAGTGTTTCCATTGTCAATGAAGAACAAGTTAGGCTACTTTTTCTATAGGGGAAGTGGTATGCAGTTTGTACTACACAGGAAACAGTAAACGACATCAGAGCAGCTGTGTGATAGTAACAGGTATGTGAAGAGCATGGGGAAGAGTCCCTCTCCTCTCACTTACCTCGGTTTTATTTCAGCTACATTATCGCTGCTTTACACTGGAGTGAAGAACCCAGTCTTGTAACAAGAGGCTACGGCTACCCTTAAACATGCTCGATACTCTTCAGGATGTTCAACTGCAAAAATGTGGGGTTTTATTCATGTAAGTTTAGCAAAACAAAATGTGTTTGAGTCAGTACAATTTGCATTCTTTTGTGTGCCTATAATTCTATGTTATCAATGTGTTAGTTGAAGGAATACTCCTCTCTGAAGACAGTTGTAAAAGAAGTCAGGTGTGATGGGGCTGGAAAGATATGACACACATGAAATAATCGGTTGCACAAACTGCTTACACACAGTGTGGTTTGAGCTGCTCCAACTAATGCCTTTTCAGGCTTCTTTAGCTGATCTCAGAATTTCATGCTGCACCTAGTAGCTTCTCAACACCTTCAATTTTTATGACATACCCAATATGTATTACTATACATATATGAGCCTCACTTCTCCAATTGTGCTGCTACTCCTCTTTGCAAAACAATAAATATTGTAGATATGGTTGCAGTAAAGGAACTCTGTGGCTGGCATAGAGCAATTGTAGTATTTCATACATCACTATTCTTGCTGATTACCAATGTAGGAAGCGTGGCAACAGAACAGGGGGTAGTTTGGGCTCCCTTACTTTTAGCTGATTGGCTGTTGTGGCCACTTGGGAGCCTTTGGCAGCATTATAAATCCAAGCAGATCTCGGGCTTCTCAAATATATGCCAGGAACCAGATGGGATTGGACTGGTGACTTAAAACCCTCTTTGTATGCTTTCTTCAGATTTGCACTGAGTGGTCCTTGAATGTACAGTACCAGAAAATCATTATCATACTCTTGCATAATTTATATACTTTAATGGTTTTGTGTTAACTATATCCAAAGTTGTGGCAGTTATTTTATCAGGCAGGAGTTACATATAAGACAGCACTGAGTAAGCTAATCAAAATTGAATATTTTGGGGTCAAATTCAACTGTAGTGTAAGCGCACCAATCCTCGCAGGGTTCAGTCTGTTCCCTTAGGTTAGTTTATTTCAGAATATTAACCCTTTCTCCAAAGTGCATATTGCCCCTCATTAGAACCAAAAATTTAAATGTACTATTTTTTTTATTCTCAGTTGTTGATCTTAGTTGTATGGCTTACTGTTTTCTCTACCTCTCCATTTCTTGCATTTTCCCAGTGGGCCGAATGTTGATGTTTAGAGCTGCTCTTGCTGAAGTCTTCCTGACAGAAGATATTTGCCAGGGTTTACAACTGATTTAGCAGCCTTCTGTGCTTCAGTTATGTATGGTTAACTTTTGTTTGTTTCTTTCCTTTTCAGAAGTCAAAGGTTAGCTGGCAGATGAGCGCCCTGAAAGTTTTGCTAACTACAGGCAGTCCCCGAGTTACGCGGATCCGACTTATGTCGGATCCACAGTTACGAACGAGGCCCTCCCTCTCCCTGGTCTCCAGCAGACCAGGGAGAGAAAGCAAAGTGGCGGAACACGCGGGCAGCGGACAGCCCAGACGCGTCTGGGCTACCCTCTGCCCGCGTGTTCCGCCGTTTTGCTTCCTCCCTGGCCTGCTGGCGACCAGGAAGAGGTCC